CTCACAGCCCAACAGCGCTCCCCGCCTCTATAGGGTTTATTCTCCAATTAGTGCTTGCTTCCCCAATTAGGGTTTTTCTTCCCCAATTAGGGCTTTTCTTTCACAATTAGGGCTTTTCTTCCCCAATTAGCGGTTTTCCTCAACAATTAGAGTATTTCTTCCATAATTAAGGCTTTTCTTCCACATTTAGGTTTTTTCTTCCATAATTAGGGGGTTTCTTCCACAATTAGGGGGTTTCTTCCACAATTAGGGGTTTTCTTCCACAATTAGGGGTTTTCTTCCACAATTAGGGTTTTTCTTCCATAATTGAGCCTTTTCTTCCGCAATTAGGGGTTTTCTTCCGTAATTAAGGCTTTTCTTCCACAATTAGAGTTTTTTCCACAATTAGAGTTTTTCTTCCACAATTAGGGCTTTCTTTCCATAATTAAGGCTTTTCCTCCACAATTAGGGGTTTTCTTCCATAATTAGAGGTTTTCTTCCACAATTAGGGTTTTTCTTCCACAATTAGGGTTTTCCGCCTGAAAAAAGTTTATTGTTCTCTAATTAATGTTTTCCATCCCCATGAGGGCTTCCCTCCCAAAAAAGGGTTTTCAGCAAGTGAGGTTTTAATTCTTCTTCAATTAAGGTTTTCTTCCGAAAGCAGCATTCCTCCCTAATTAGGGTCTGCAATTAAATGCAAAACGTGGATATAATCATGTAATTGAAGTCTAATTTTGGAAGCGTCTGGTTGGTTGTATATATTATATATATTACCTACATCTCATTCAACAGAACGAAAAACTAAAGTATTTTGACAAGAGCAGTTGATTTCTTGGAAAATTGAAAATTTTTTGTTTAATGCACAATCCATTGCAACAAACTATCGCTCTTGGAGTTACTATACACTACAGACAAATTAATAGGTCATATTGTCCAACTAGTGACACACCTCTTGCATTCAGCACTAATACGTTCTTTTTGCGGAGCAAAGTGGGTCAAAATAACCCACATAAGGTCAAAAGTGCATCGCTATTTGTACAAAGTCCCATGAACGTGTCTGCGGGTAACATGGAAATAGTTCGGGCAGCATGCCTCCCTCGGCGCCCATGTCGTGCGTTAGTTACGGCCAATTTGCCGCTGATCGCGTAAGTTTGACCGCATGTCTGTCTAACTTCAACTCAACGCTGCCCCAGGCTATGCTTTGCCAAAACTTTCTGCCGTTTGTCCTTTTCAACTTTCGAGTCCGTTTGTCCTTTTCAACTTTCGAGTTGAAGAAACTTTTTCTCCTTGCATCGCGCAACTATGCAGGTGTTTGTTTTATTGGATGAATTATTCTGATGTGACGGATAGTTTTACTGGATGTGGGGAACCTTTTTGTTTGTCCTACCTTTTTGTTGTTAAGAATTCAATTGTACGATAGTTGAATATCAGATAAATATTTTTTAAAGCACCAGTTATGAATTTTGATGTACTTTTTGTTATGTTTACTAGAATCCCACGAGCAATATTTATTTAATAGTAATATCATAAACTAACATTAGTTAATTACTTGTGGTAGATCCTTGCGGTTCTCATATTTCATGATTATTATAGAATTTTATAGAATTTTTCATGTTCAATTATTTGTAGGAATTAAATGCTTTATCCTGTTCCGCTTTTCTTTTTAAAGTCAATTCATGCAAGCAAGCTGATTCAGTGTTCATTCAAAATTCATTAAAGAGTTGAAGAAAATTAATTTTGTTATCTTTTTATGCCACCTGCTTTAAGCTTTGAAGCAATTTTTATCTATATAACCGCTTGGTTTCATCCCTAAAAATTATAGATTACTTTTTGACAAAATTGTTTTTATGAGCGTACATTGTCATGAAGTTCATTTATGTCAGTGCGTATACAATCAGAAAATCAAAAATATTTCGGAGCGTATGTAGTCCAGAAGTTTATAGTAATGAGAAATTCATTATCATTTAATTTCTGAACTCTCACTATTAAAAAAAATTGAGCTTTTCGTCGTATATTTCCAGGTTTTGTTCGTTTCTTTCGTAAATGTTCTATATGGTGTTATTCGTCTTTATTCCAATTGTTATTTATTCGTTTTGTGGTGAATCATGTACGAAATCAAATATCATAATATATTATTCATTCTAGAATAAATGTTAAGTGTGAATGAAAGTTTCTACAAAACAAACTGGCAATTAACACAGCTGGCAGGTGTGGGGCGCTTTATGCATACCGTTAATTTATCGAACACAAACTGCTGAATTTCACACAGAGTTGTGCAAAAGACATTCACTTCTGGTTTAGAAATTCAACCTGCTATAAAATTTTTTTTAGCGCGTTTTCTCATTTATGGAAAAAAAGTCGCTATAGTGCTCGCCATGTCCGTCTGTCTGTCCGTTCGTTCATGTTTCCGTCGACGAGAAAATGCACTCTCTGTCACTCACTGCAGTGAGTACTGAGTTATATTTTTTCTAATATCATTTATCCTATCGTATCTTCCTATACGAGATCAATTTGAAAATGTATTCATACTTGAAAATTGTTAAAACTATTCTTTACATTTAAACTGCTCTGTAATTCGTACATTTTCAGTCTTGTATCTTCGTTCATTTAGGCCGTTAATTGATTTGTGTCACTTTAAACAAGGAGATACTGTCACTCCTTTGTCAATTATTATGATATATTGTCGAAACATAGACGCCACAGAATGCAAATAATCATTATATTATACGTAATCTTTCTTCATCAACTCAATAAACTTGAATACTCTCGTCTGTTTCTGCACGCATATATTCCTGCTAGACACAATCCACGGTACACTCATACCTAATGTGTAATTTGCATACTCTGCAGATGTATTTTATTTGCACAAAAATAATATCGGTACTCTTGCGATATCGCAAATATGAGCAGAGACAAAAAATATTCATATCAGGTAGAATCTATTGGCCATAATATGTGTTAATATAAAGAATACAATATGGCGCCAGTCAAACGCTATTACTATTAGCAACTTAAAATCATCATTTAGGTAGACCATAAGGTGCCTAAATAGCAGGTAAATAATAAAAGCTAACATAGGAACTATCAAATAGCTAGCAAAAACTACTAACAAGGGATTATCTGGCGCTTGTGTGCCGACTACATAACGTTAGCTCGATCTCAATGCTAAGTTGGTGTGTTAGTGCGCTATGTGTATGTGTGTTAGTGCACTATGTGTGGGTGTATTAGTGCGCCATTTGTTGATGTGTTAGTGCGCTATGTGTATGTGTGTTAGTGCGCTATGTGTTGGTTGTGTTAGTGCGCTATGTGTTGGTGTGTTAGTGCGCTATGTGTTGGTGTGTCAGTGCGCTATGTGTGGGTGTGTTAGTGCGATATGTGTTGTTGTATTCGTGCGCTATGTGTGGGTGTGTTAGTGCGCTATATGTGAGTGTGTTAGTGCGCTATGTGTTGGAAAGTTAAAGCACTGCACTCGCAGGAGATAGAGCACAAACCATGAGTGAAGTAGAGCACCACATACAAGTGAAGTAGAGCACTACACATAAGTGAAGTAGAGCACTACACATGAGTGAAGTAGAGCACAACACATGAGTGAGAGCACTACACATAAGTTCTGTATAGCACTACCAAGCAAATTCCTAAAGCATCAGCAGTTACAGGACTTGTGCAGTCATCAGGCAATTGCAAGAAGTTGTGTCGGGGCGAGTGTAGTCCATACAATTGGTCTGACAGTCGGCGAGACGGATCGCCTTTTAATGATATAATTTGCCCCTTCTAATAGATAAGTGGAGCCGTGGTCTCCATGCAGACGTTTCTGCCAGCCGACTCCTACATATTTTACTCTGCTATGCTTTCCTTCAGCTTACGATATTTCTTGTGCTTATAAATCCTTTTGTTTCTCGGTTTATGATTTTGTATGTTTTTTTTCTCCGTTAATTCACAGTGTAGCATTATTCTTGATATGTTTCTATTTTTTTATATTAAGGAAAATTTTAAGATTTACCAATTTTCATTCTGAATTCTTTCAATTTTTTTCAGGCGTCAACCGACGAGTCCTTCTTTCCATGGTTGTGTATGATGAACCCTTCCCGGCCTTCGAGTTTTAAATATATTTGAATACTTTGTATTACTTATCATTTGTGTATATCATATCACTTATCATTTGCACATTTCTCATCACTTACGTCATTTTGATATGCATCAACTTTCAGCGATGAAAGGTTCACTATTGGGACTTATTGATAAAGGATCCAGGATTCTCATCGATCTGTTAATTCTATCCTTTTTATAATTTTACGTTTTCTTATTTCATCTGAAATGCATATTATTTCGAATCATTTTCTGGACATTTTTTCTCACTCACTTTTTACCTTCTGATGAATACTACATGAATAATTTTTTAAAGATAATTTTCAAAGATAATTTTTCTTTAGTAAATACCTATACGCCTAATGTTCTCTTTTTATGTTCGCAATAAGAAAACGTAAAAAATAACAATCGAATTATACATAGTAAGTAAATATGTATATGGTTTAAAAGCCCAAGATTTTAGCCTTCAATTTATTATGAATGATTATACTACGGAATCTTAGAAATTTACAACCATTATTCATCTCTTGCTTATCCATAGTCAAATTTTCAAGAAATATTTAAATAGTCTCCATTTCGCCCGTATTCATAACTTGTGTAGTTTTTAGGTATTAGTATCAATTTAAACCATTTTTCTTTAATAACATTTTTCCATTTCTTTTTGGAGGCTTCCGTGCTTTAGGTTTTGCTCGAATTATTTATCGAATTATTTATTCGGTCTAGGTTTTTCGAAATATTTATTTATTCAGTTTCTGAATTATTTATTCAGCAATTGTACAGTTTTGTTTTAGCAAATATACGTGTGAATAATCTTTGTAGGTAAATGAACTGAACCTGCATGACCGGGAATTATAGAGCTCGAGTAACAGAAACAAGTAGTCCCGGTGGCAAGTGTAATTCATTGCCATTAAATTTCTTTATTTTTATGCTTGCAGGCGCTGAACGGTTTTCTTGTGATCTTGGACTGCGATGGAGAAGTTTTCTTTGCCACGCACAACATCGAAACCTACCTAGGCTTCCATCAGGTAATTTAATTACTGGATACGATAACAAATAATAATTTTATTACATTTTCATTGGTTTCCATAATGTTAAAAAATTACTATCAAAAGTCATGTTTCGTTGATAACCAACCCAAGCAGGTATTGACGTAATGTGTATAATTTTGTTTCACTCTGTAACTAGGCTATTGTTCTCGGCCTCGACCTGAAATAATTTAGATATTAGACCCCTATAGGCTTCAGTTTATAGGAAGACTAGTGACCACTATAGGCTTCAGTATATAGGAAGACTGGTGACCACTATAGGCTTCAGTATATAGGAAGACTGGTGACCCCTATAGGCTTCAGTGCATAGGAAGACTAGTGACCACTATAGGCTTCAGTGCATAGGAAGACTGGTGACCACTATAGGCTTCAGTATATAGGAAGTACTATAGGCTTCAGTGTATAGGAAGACTGGTGACCACTATAGGCTTCAGTGGATAAGAAGACTTTTGACAACTATAGGCTTCAGTGTAAAGGAATTCTGGTGCTTGATTATTTCGCCGGCGGCCAACACAAGCGACACTGAACTCTGTCTTGCACGCTTACACTGGGAGAAATTTGTGAAACAGGATAGCTCAGTCAAGGCCATGCCGAAAATACCACTATATGAGTTTTCCTGACTTGCTATCATTCCGTAAACCATTTGAGGTGGTGGAATGTTCAAATGAATATTCATCTCTTCCCAGAGATTAAGATTTATTTTATTTATGTTATCCCGCTCCTTTGAATTTTGTCAGAAAGTTTATTCAATCATAATTAAAGTGCTGACAAATTGCTATATTCACTAAAGAAACAACAAGACTGGTTCACAGATTGCAATGGATGTTAAATTTTTGCAATCTTTCCCTTGCTAAAATCGAAGAAACGAGCTAAAATTTAAGAACAATATCTCAGCGACTCCGCGACACTCAGTCAAGCCACAGCAATTTCTTCTTCAATTTTCCAATCATTATAAAAACACAACGCTGGTCAGCTTATTCGTTTGCGTTCTTTATTACAGCGCGGCCGCTATGTAAGTCCTCTCACTCGCTCGTGAACGTCACAAGCCAAGAATGTTCGGAATGCCGTGATGAACGTCTGCGTTTCGAGTTGACGTAGTGACGTTTACGCCAGGTTGTGGTCATTAACTTGACGCTAACGTCGTTCTCAGTCGCCTTTTATGCTAAATTTGGTCATGCGTCGGAGGCTATATCGTCGGACGAGCAATTATTTACCGATATTTACGAGCGTAAGTTTTTTTAGCTTGTAAACTTGAGGGCAGTGAGATGACGAGTAAAGAGCGAGCGCCGCGCGATACGGCAAGCGGGGTACAGGAGAGGCTTCCAAACTGAAACTTTAGTCGGGATATGAATGGCCATTCAGTGAATGATGGAGAGACGTCCATTTTCACCCTTGATTTTCAAAACTTGATCATTTTAATTATTTTTAATTAATCAAAAATTCCAGTTAAGAAAAATCAGTTTCAGAAATTTTTGGAGTTCGGTGCTAAAGGTCCATTTGTCTATTTGAACGATGCTTCGTTAATTAACGTTTTTTACTTTCGAAATTATTAACTGGATTCGGGTTCAAGAAATTTTCCAATTTTAGGGATTATCTATCCCGGGCAGCTACGGGCTAAGTTGGTGGTGAATTGTAAACGTTATTCTGTGCATGTATTAAGGAAATTAGCATTACTGATTTTCTGGATGAAGAAACCGAATCAAAGTACAGAATTCAGCAGAAAACTTCATGACATTTCGAGCATCGTGAGATAAATATAATTTCTTTATCAACCATTTATAAATTTAATTGATCTTTGTACAAGTTTATTTATCTTTGAACTATGATTTCTTAATCAAATCCATTATTTCATAAGCAACTATTTTTCAAGCAAACTCCAATTATTTTCAATTTTTTCCTACCAGCATTAATAATTTCATGAACCAAATCAATCGGCGTAATAATAATCGAATTATTTGGATGCATAAATACATAATATAAATTTATTTCATAGATCATAAATGACATGCCAAAAATGGAAATTTCTATCTCAAAAAGAGAAGCATCTTTGGGCAAAGAGAATTCGATGTTAAACATCAAATGAGGAACAAGTTATTTCTGCTTTTACTGAATAATTTCAATACATTGTAGGTGCATCAATTCCTAACTAGACAATTTGGGTTCATGGTAATTAATTTAAATAATTGAAATGAATTCGTATAATTATTAAATTTGTACACAGTTTGCGTTTCAGTTGATGCTGTTTGTTTCGCCCAAATATATTTTCATTCCTTTCATCCCTAATTATCAACCGATCGTCAAATTGGATGGACAGGTAGATTAATTTTGAAAATTTTCTATTTATAATTTCAATTAAATTTTGAAATTACTCTATTAAAGGTTCATGTTAATTCTCAGAGTTTTATTGCTTCATTTCATGACAGGGTAAGAGATTCAAGCTTTTCCATTTTGACTTTCATGTGAGATTGTTGGGTGGCTTTTTACAATTCATTTAATGCCAACAGCGATCGACTGAGAAGCTTCAAATCAAAATTTTATGTATCATTTAAATTAATTGCTTTTTGTAATTTGTAAATTTATGTATCATTCAAATTAATTGCTTAATTTATCCTTAATTAAGGGTTTAATTTATATTCTAAGTTACGCTGTCTTCGACAAATGACGTAAACAATAACATCTCGCCTCAAAGTTTTAAACACTGCATATATAATCTATCTCGTATTTAAAGTTCTGAATCGTTCATTAACCACTTGCACTGCAGGCTCATATTTACATGTAAATCGGATGTCCCGCTGAGAAAATACCGATACCGACGCCCCTTTTTACGAGTCGGACATCCGTTATTACGGCATTTTTCAGGCTTTGAATTCCATGCTGACTTTAATTCGATCGTAAGACGTCCGTTTTGGTTGGTGGTTATGCCATCATTAGAACGGTGGCTTCACGGCAAGTTAAATGTAATAGTTGTAACTTGGAGCGTCTTTTGTTTTGCGTAAAAAAGATGCAGGGAGTTTTTAAAGGCTTATAATTTATTTAGCAATCTAATATGCATGCTAGTGATCGCTGGTGGTCACTGATCGCTACTGGTGAATGATGGCTACATAATTGATAATCATGAACGTATTATGGGTAGCCACTGACCCGGCCTCATTTACTAATTACAAAACTGATTGCCTGTGTAAAAAATGAGACTATACAACTACTTTTATTTTTTAAATATTCCGGAATGTAATTCTTTAAGTAGGCAACGTTGATAAGCTGTAGAAGATAGATGCTGCTGAAAATTAGGGCTTCCCCGCCTTCAATTTTTATGAACCTTTATTAAACTGAATGAAATTACTGTATCAAAGGGTAATTATGAATGATTTTCATTAGATTTTGAACAATGCTAATTTTGAATCCAGTTCCTGGCGCGCGGCTGCGTCGTTGAAGAGTGTTGATCCAAAGAATGTCTGCATTCAACACTAAAGGCATTTCTACTGCACTTCCACTTACAGCCTGTATCCACATATGTTTTTGTGCTACCATTGCACAAAATAAATCAACTCCTTACATACATTAGCTGTGTGCGTCAAATTCGTCTTAAGAAGCTACAATGAAAGATCATCATTAGCTTGAAAAAAAAAACAACTATCGGTTTCTGCGCGGTTGAAGACAACTTACAACCATCAATGATTTCGTTAACTAATAATCATAATTACATCATGGTACAGTTATTCTCTGTCTAACGACTTTAGCAATAATTGCAAATGAACAAAATCGAAGCAACTCCCAGCGGCTCATTCTTTTTCGTAATTTCTACTAATGCCAAAAAAATATTAATTTTGGAATCGTCTTCGGAAAGTTTTATTTTTTGAGAAGTGAAGTATTAATACTAAAGGTGATTTAAGTGAGGTCCATAATTTCTATGAAGAAAAAGAGCAATAAGGTGAACAAAATTATCATTCAAAAGTTCCTCCGTGAGCCATTCCAGGATGTTTCTTAACTATCTTATAGAATGGAATTAACAGAAAGCTACCGCAAGATTTCTCTTCAAGAACAAAAGAAAATGAAGCAGAGTGTCTTACAATTTTATTCCACATGAATAATAAGTGTAACTGATAAAAATAAACACGAATAAGAAGAACATGCACAATTTGTCACACAATCTCAGACGCCAGACATCGTCTTGGTGCAGCAGTTTTATGATCGTGATATGATCAGATGCATTGTCGTCTCTGTCACGCTTTTCACTCACGCTAAGAGACCACAACTAACCAGGAATCTTCACGCTATCTGACTCCAATAATTGTCCACTTGGTGACGCATTTAGATTAAACGATAGAAAGCTCAGTGATAAGTCACAACACTAGAGAATTAATTAACAAAATTCTAGGAAATACATTGGACGAATAATGATGTCCGTGACGGATAACAGCTACGAGGGATGGCTCCCTCGCGCCGCATCTCACAGCAATTTTTCCAGTTTTTTTCGGTTTAATTTTCTGTTAGAATAATCTATATATTATCTATGCTGTGAAATAATTTTTTTATATTTGTGTATTTGGTTACAAGCTTGTTTTGTAAATATATAGGGATTATTTGAGAGCTCAAAAGAAATTTATTTCGTATAGTGATGCCGCTAGGAGCAGAATTGTGTGATTTTGATGGATGTATAAAGCAAGAGTGAATAAGCGTCTTAGAAACGGGTCGATAAATAAAATTCAATATTCTATCAAAAATTTCTAACGGGAATACAAAAACGAAACCAGTTTCATGACTCTGAGTTTACTGCTACTTATCTCTACACATTCTACCTCCCGCTCAGCACCCAGCTATGAAAATGAATTACGTACTTCTTTTCAGTTGGAACTATTCCATATATTTCATATATTCGAAATACATATCATCCGCATTGACTTAAATGAGTAGTATATCCTTCAATTTTTGATGAAGCTAAAATTCAATAAAAAATGAAGAGACCAAATTTTTCTCAATTT